CCTTCAAAGTGCTCGATAGAGGGATAGGCAATACATGCTCTCTACGGAGCCAGCGCGGTGTATTGGCTTTCGAGACTCCTATCTCTTCTTCCAGAAGCACAGGCTGCTCTACAAGATCATTATCGACGACGAAGCCAAGCGCGACCTTATCGAACGAGACATCATCCCTCACTCGTACAAGGGCCGAGCAATCGGCATCGTGACTGCGCGGTCTGTCTTTCGCGAATTCGGCGCGCGCATCATCATTGGTGGTCGGAAGGTCGTGGATGACTACCATGCTCAGGAAGCGAGAGACAGAGGAGATGTAGAGGGCGAATTAGCCGTGCCTGAGGACAGATTGCCCGCTCCCGGGGAGAAGTATAACAAGAACCAGTATGTTGCGTGGCATGGGGCGAGCAGTGTGTATCACTCGGGAGTGCCATCGGTGCCCATGCCCGTTAGCAAGGCAGTGGAGAGCAAGAAGAGGAAGATTGTGGTTACGGGGGACAATTGGATGGTCCAGCATGCTCGTGAAGCTAGGTATGTCTTCTGTCCTGCTTTTCCTCTTGACTGTGTTTTATCCGTGAATGTAACTAACAGCTCCAGTCGCTTCAACTCTGAACTGGCGAGTCTACGGCGAGAAAACATCAACGGCGTGTATGACATACACACCAACTTGATGATGTATCCCAAGACGATGCAGCCAACCCACGCTCGCTGGGAGCAGATCGAGCCATCTGAAGACGCCTCCTCATCCTCGACCTCATCCTCTACATCTACCACTATCTTTCCATCAGTCCGAGGCATCTTCAGCCGCAACTTCCGCATCCATGACATCGCCTACGAGTCCGCGCCCAACACGTCTCTCAACCTCGTCCCCGGGCCAGACGGGGACTACCACGACCTCGGCTCCAACGGACTGATCTCACTAGACAAAGAAGCCAGCAGCAGCGGCGGCGGCGACAACGACCGCGACGCTGGCTCTGAAGGAATCAACTTCAAAATGACGCCGGAGGTGCTGGCCGAGCTACCTGAGGACTGTCGACAAGCCTACCTCGACGCCGCAGCCCGGGAGTGGCAGTGGAAGAACAAGTGGAAAGGCGAGAGAGTCGACGGCGCCAGAGCCAACCTTGCCATGAACTTCTCCTGGACTCCCTAACCGTCTCCTCCCGTCTGCCTTTTTGCCTTTTTACTTCCATCTTTTGCTGTCTTTCTAACAAATCTACGTTGTCTATTCTGCAAGGGTACGGAGTTGTCGGCGACCAGGGCCCGGTTTCCGAGGGTTTTAACCTTCTTTTACAAATATGTTTCTTTTTCTCCCCTTTTGTTTCCTGTATGTGATGACAAAAAACGGCCTTCCCTTTTGCTGTCCCACCCTTTCTCCCCCCTTGCACTCCCGCCCGGCTGCGCCTTTAACTCTCGACCTTGACTTTTTTTTGACTTGACTTGACTCTTCATGCATGCGAAGAAGTCAAATGGAAAGAGAGGCAAAGGGAAGTTGGGTGACAGAGGCAGAGGCAGAGGCAGGCCTGGTGACCTCCTGCCTCTCTCACTTGCTATTAGTCACTTTCAGCTCTATGACTCCCCGCCCTCCTCGAACGTCATCCTACTTTCTCCGTACTGACTGACTGACTGACTGACATCCTGGTCCTGACTTGTGGCCTGCATGCATTCATCTGCATCTGCTTCTGCCTCTGCTTCTCCCTCCTGCACGCCCTATCCTCTGCACCCGCTCTCCTCTTTCCACCTCGGTCATCTATCTCCAAAGGAGGGACCTCTTCTCCCTGGAAGGCTGTCCATTCATGTGTACACTAATGACTTTTACTATCATCTTCACCATCTTCTCGCTCTCTAATAGTACTCACCATCTCGTCTACTTGCGGTCTCTTCTATCGGCCGTCGTCCGGGTAACCCTAGTTGCTTAGTCATTACTCATCCGGCGGACGAAGCGGAAAATGAGAAAAAGAAGCAGAAGCAGAAAAGTCATCGAAGCCAGACAAGAAGACACAGACTCATCCTCCTCTTGTCGGCGCAGTAAAGAAGATCACGCAGTACTCTGTACTCCGTAGGCAGCAGCATTAACGCGTATGAACCAGCGGTTCAGAGTGTGTCAAGAGGAGCTGCACTGCCCTGTCTCCCCTCGGCTCTTCGTCTCCTTCTAACTCTCGTATGGAAATTACCGTAACTTTACAAGCTGTCAGGAAAAAGGTTGACTTTTCCCTTCCTTTTCTTCCTTTTCTTCTGGCTCACCTGACGCTCGTCTTTTTCCGCTTTTTTCGGTTTTTTCGGTTTTTCGCCTTTTTCTCGCGCTTTTTCCCTCCTTCCCTTGCGCTCTTTTTTACCTCCTTGCTGACTAATAAATTACAGTACCAAAGCAAGGCCCTTGTACCAGCTTTACGGCCATTTTTTCCCTTTTTGCGCCTTCACCTCGTGATTCTGCCTCTGCTCGCCGTCTTCCCTTTTCTCTTCTTCTTCCTCCTCCCCTTCAACCTCCAACCTTCAACCTCACCATCTTCAACCACGCACCGCACACCACCACCACCACCAACACCAGCTCCCCCCTTCGTCACCGGCACTGTTGATGCCCTTCAGCTCTGCTCATAGTGTTCGTGTCCTGCTGTTCGTCCTTGGTCGGTGTTTCATCCTTCTCTTTCTTGCCGTCTCTTTTCGCTGGCGTTCGCCGTCGACCTCCCAGACGACCGCCATCACCATCCACGACCACCACCACAGCCACCAACGAGCTTTTCACTAAGTCTCGTTCCTCCCTCCTTGGTTCATTTAATACCTCGAAGCGCCTCGTTCTTCTTTATCGGCTTCTCTTTGCTCTACCTTTTTTTTTTTCCCATTTGCTCCTACATCTTTTCTAGTATATTATATTTTTCTACTTTCTTGTTGAACCAACGACCGTTCGGCTGCCACTCTTTTTACTCGTTCGGCTCAATCATCTGACGCCCTGATCTGTTTTCTCCCTCATAGGCTGGAATCTGGTGCTTCTTATCTTCCCAAATGTCATACTAGAGGGTCAAGGGTCGACTGTTTCAACCCAGCCAGTGGTCCTTGTTGGGGCAAGGCCCGTCCGGGGTCGGGAGAGAAGAGAGCGAGACAAGAGCAAGACACCACTCCCATCCGAGACCGGTCTCTTTTTCTTTTTTTTTTTGCTTGACGGGATAGTACATCCATCAAGGACACAGGAGGAAAAAAAAAAGGTAAAAGGTTACCACGACTGGCTAGATTCAGATAGCCAGTCAGAGGCAGCATCTCCGTTGTGGATTGCTGCCTTGCTCGCGTCGACCACTTCTTCGCCCATTATGCCGTCTTTCTTCGCGTCCGGGGGGTTGAACACCTTCCCGCCAACTCCGCCACACACCAACGTTGGTCCTCGCCTCGAGACCGACCCTTCGTTCTACGCCAGTGCTGGTGCTAGTGCTACCACCGGCGGACATGCCGGCTTTGCCTTTGGCAGGTACGGGGCCGGAGCTGAGTATGAAAAGTACCAGCCTACCTACCCCAACCCTTACCATGGCAGAGGCGATCTCAACCACAAGAACAGTTCTGGAAAGCAGCAGTTGATTGCTCAGCAGATGCTCTACAACAATCCTCTCGCTCACAGCCACGGTCACGGCCTCGGTCTCGGTCTAGGCCATGGCCACCATGGACTCATCGCGATGCATGGAAGCAAGTTGGCTCCTATGGACAGTGCGGTGCCTCCTCAGTACCGCCGTCATGATCCCATGATCCATCAGGACCAGCACCATATCCAACAGCACCTCCAGCATCAACACCAGCAGCGAAAGCAGCAGCAACAACAACACCATCAACAGCAGCAGCAGCAGCAGCAGCAGGCAAAGGAACAAAAGACCACCGGTGGCGTAGCGGCTCATCTAGACTACGACATGGACCAGATGACCGACTTCGTGGCCGAGATGGCCCATGGAATGTATGCTCTCTACCAGTCTAAGCTAGTGCTTGCAGATATTGACATGCTCCGAAGCGTCCACCCAGGAACCACGCCTCCCTCGCAGTTCCGCAAATACGTCTCCCAGATCCTCTCGTCTACGCGTCTGCCTAGCTCCACTATCCTCCTCGGTCTCTACTACCTGGCCTCTCGCATGAGGATGCTCTCCTCCGCCGACGTCTACCCAACTGCTGTCAAGACATCGTCTTCGTCGTCGACTACACCTGCTACCACTCAGGTCTACCGTATGCTCACTACCGGCCTCCTGCTCGGCAGCAGTTCCTCGACGACAACACCTTCCAGAACCGTTCCTGGCTGAAGTCAGCAGCATTCCCGTCGCTGATCTGAACTCCATGGAGCTTGAGTGGCTCTTTGGCTTCGAGTGGAAGATCCACGAGCGTATACACACCAAGAATGATGGATTCATGTCCTGGAAGGCTCACTGGGATAGCTGGAGAGCCAAGGCTGATGCCCGTGCTGCTGCTGCTGCGGCCGTTGCAGCCTCATCCAACGAATCCCGTGCAAAGCTCGCCCCCATCGACACAAACATCATCCACCGTCGTCATCCACTCTACCACCACGGTAGCGGTCACCACAGCGCGCTTCCAAAGGCCATGCTTTCGCCCGATGGCCCCATTCCACCACAATACCAGCGCAGTGCTTGTCCCTGGCTGCCAGCCAGCAACGCCAGCACTGCTGTAACCACTCCTCTCGCCGCATCGGACTACTCACCACCTTCCGCCCCTCACACCGGGCCTAGCACACCAGATTACTTCCACTCTGCCGGTGGTTCTGGTTCAAATGCTGCCTGGCCGTACAACGCTCCACCGCCATACTGCGCCACTTGGCTCCCTCAGCAGCAGCAGCAGCAGCAAACATCCCGTTCTGGGCCTACTGCTCTTCCACTGCCACTTCCTCGTTCCCAGCCACCATCCTACGTTCATACTCCAATGTATGCCAACGCCTTCAGTCCAATCAATAATAACGTCAACGGGAATGTTTGGACCGGTCACGGCCCTGGATGCGGCTGTCTCTACTGCGCAAAGAGCCATGATCTCTACTTCCCCGTCTCTTCTTTCGGGATGCAGCCTGTTGCCGGATGATCACCTTTTTCCTTCTGACACCAATTTCAAAAGTTTCGTCACAACGCTTTTTTGATCCGTTTAGACTTTCGACTTTTCACCCAAAAAAATTCTTTCCGACGTAACGATTCACGTTGCCTATTATTCTTCGGCTTTTTTCGACTTTCCGACTTTTCGACTTTATTCTTCAGCCTTATGCCTTTTTTTACTTCTTCCTTTCTTTACTTACACTTTCTCACTTCGTTCTACGCGGATGGATGATTGATGATTTTTCTCTTGACCTGATTTGCACTTGACATACTTACACATACATACCATACCCCTTAACTGGACCTTTTTGCTGTTCTTCCATTTTTCCATTTTTTTTTCTTTTGCCACGCCTTGCTTGCCCTCTCGTTACTTGTTATGCTATTCCCCATCTCGCAGTTGTCTTCCTCTTTTTACCCCTTATTACTCTTACTTGGGCATCGTTATTTGGAGGCGCTTCTCTCGCTATCTCCCTCATAGACATTTCCTTTTCCTTTCCTTTTGTCATGTCACGTCTCGTCTCGCTTCGCTTCGTTTCGTTTCTTCTAGCACTGCGATCTCTGGCTCTCCGGCGTTTTGTCTTTTTCTGCAGCAATATCCCATTCTTGCTTTGTCTTGCTTTTGCCCCTTTAACAGCCATAATCCACGTTCACGACCTTCTACACCAGCACTACCGCCAAAAAATTGTTTACCCTTCGCGCCTTCCCTGCCATCCCAAAAACTAAACTGTCAAACCTCGACATCTATCCGTCTACTCGATTCCCTCTTCATACTTCCTTTGCCTTGTCTGCCCTGCCTTGCCCTGGTTTTGGTTCGGTTTCAGCAAGACTGGTCCTGAACTGGTTTTTCCTCCTTTCATGATTTCCGGTTTACTTTTACCTGGTTTTGCACTTCCTTTTTCGCCATCGAGTTCATCTACCAACTTCGACGCGAATCCCAAAATTGCGAATAACCGCGAACTCCGAAATACAAGAATCACCGGCATCATCAAAAAAAAAAAAAAAAAAAACAAACAAACAAAAAGCCATAGAATTTCGATCTCGCTCTCCTTCCTTCCTCATCTCGATGTGTTACTTTTTCCTTCTTTTTTTAAAAAATTTTGGTATTCAATTGGCGGGCTTTCGTTTCTTCACTTTTAATCTACTTCCATTTCGTTGATCTTTTTTTTCTTATCTATCTGCATGGTGATGGCAAAGGGGGGGGGGGGGGGGGGGTTCGTTAATTAAAATATCTCCTTATGCGTGCATTCTGCGTTCTTGCGTCTTCTCTGCCAATTTGTCAAATGTCTCGAGTCCTTCCACTTCTTCTCCCGTTCCTTCATACCTCCTCAACCCTTGCCTTGACCCTTGTCCCTGCATCAGCTAATTTTGCCTGTCTTGTGCTTTATTCGTGTCATTCTACTTGCTTACCACCTACATCACGCGCGAGCTTTGAAAGAAAGCAAACAAAATTTATTAATCCACTATCCCCCTTTTTTCTCCAGTTTATTTTTTACCGACTCTTTACTTACTTCAGTGGCTCCAGTTTTTTCCCTTGCTTTTATTCGCTTCTGTGTGTCTCGCTTGATTGCCTGAATGGAGCTTGGTTTGAACTAAGATGGAAACAAAAAAGATGAATATACCACATACACCTTACTTTAACTTTTACATTTAACTTGCTCTCTTGATACCTGCACACTTTCTTTTACTTCTGCTTCTCGCTCGGCTAATGAATGAATGATATCTTGTTTTTTTTCCCCTCCCTCTTGTCCTACTGCCCACTCAAAGTCCACTCAAATACACTCGTATAACAATCTCCGATGTCTCTCTTGCTCTCATTTCACCTCCCTCTCCCCTGTCGTCAGCTCGGATAGAGATGGATGGATTAGATAGATAGGCTCCCGAGTTCCGCTCAACCTTACCTCCTTTCTTTTGTGCTTGATATCTTGATAAACCGGCCGTACTTAGTGTCATCTACTGGAATATATTAAAATCAAAGAGGCTTTAATATGACTTTTGCCTGTGTATTTTTGCCGTGTGTCGAATTACGTGATAGATATTACTCTTCCTCCCCTGATTGGCTGGATGCTTGTTATTTTTGTCACTAATCCCAGCCAATGAGTACGCGTAATTTTACGCTTAAGCTCTTACCAACCAGATTCAAGCCAGCGGCAAAAGAAGTCGAAAGTTGAAAAGTTGAACACTCCTTCAGATTCTAGACCACCATTAACCATCTATCTGTCTATATGGATATTGGATATGCCCCCGGTGCAACATAAAAAAAAGAAACATAAACCAAGGAAACAAGATATGCCAGAAATTCATAACTCAACATGTGAACAAAATATACTACTCCTGCTCCTCTGCCGTCATATACCCATAACTCGTAGTCCTATACACTATGCTTTGTCCTTCAGGTGGACCGCGCCTGGAGGTAATATCGCTGGCTTGAACTTTCCGTGAGTTCGCTGGACACAAGTACCGGATGCTGCTGGTGGTGGTTCTGCTCAAAATCATATGCTGGAAGTTTCTCCGTCTGATACGCAGGGAGGTCCTCGACGGCCATGACACTGTCGTCATCTTTAAGGAGGGCTTGTTTTGTGGCATTCTTAGCCTTCAAGACGCGCTCCTTTTCTCGGCGGCCCTGGATCTTCTCGGCGGTGATGTAGATGGCGGCGCCGAGAGCAAGGACAATAGCTGCCATTCTTGCGAGGTGTGAAGTGGTTTGTTTGTTTATTTGTCGTTCGATGGTGGGTTGGTAAGGTATTGTGGATGCGAAAAGTGTTTGTTTGATACGCTTGGGAGGGTTAAAGCGTAGATAGCTGCCTGGCTGATTGCTTTCGGGCTTTAAATGTGATGTTGGTGGTGGGATAGCGACTGGAAAGGGAGATATACTTATACCCGTCTGAACTTCTCAGAGATGAGACTGACATCGTCAATGCCAGTGGCAGTGCTGAGGATATCTACATACTAAAAGCACTTCATGGCAGATTCGTCGTTCATCGCGGAAGATTTGTGTTTCTTCATCGTATCTACAACAAGCCGTACGGGGTCTGTTTATGGCTGAGACACAGGGCTCTCGAGAGTGTATCGCCAGCCTCAGCCCCATAGCTGCTATTGTTCATGCTATTCATCAGTAAGATGGACCATCCAAAGCCTCATGGCTAAAAGTGAAGATATGCCCCTTGAAATACGCTCCCTGTCGCACTGAATACGTTCCCTGCAAGCCGCTACACGAGGTCTTGGCGCCGTGAATACGTTCCTGGTCGAGCTTAAAGATATCAAATACTCTTGAAGGCTCAACAACCACAGCACCGTCAACAGAGCTGATGATATCTACGATGTCAACTCGGTTGCCGTATAGACGGGATACGGCGTTCTTAGCATCAAGATGTCACCCTCCACGAGGGCTCATGTTGAGGCAGTGCTGCTTCATCGCAGGTATATAAGAGACTAGCTCTTCTATGCCGGATCGATTACAATCATCCTCAGCATCGTCTTCATCTTCCATCCATTGGATAGCCATATTCAAAGATTTACTTGACGTGCTGCACTTGAACTCTTTTGTTTATTTATTGTCATGGCTGCCGTCTTTGCTACAGCCGGCTTGCTGCTTGCCCATGGCGTCTCCTCTGCAGCCGTCCATACCTCCAAACACAACCACGGGTACTGCAAAGAATTGGATATCCCAGTGTTTGCTACCTCAGAGAGCGCCATCTACGATATACCTAGAGTAGACAGCAACATTGATGCCATAGCTTGGGCCATCTACTCCGATACGTGGAGCACTCCTGCAGGCGCAGCCAGAATCATCAAGAACACCACAACCTCCGAAACCTTCAAAATCCACGCACAATTATGTGTTCCCAAAGTTTCAGGCGGAAAGAACGATATCCTGCACATCGCTACCCATGGAGTCCATTATGACTCTAGATACTGGGACCCAACCCTGGACCGTGAGAAGCAGTCCTACGTCGAGGCTACGCTAAGAGCAGGGTATCCCATTCTCACCTACGACCGCCTGGGAGTTGGAAAATCGGACAAACCCGATGCATACGATGTTGTTCAGGCTCCTCTGGAACTCGAAATTCTCCGCCAGTTGACCCTTATGGCTCGCAACGGTACTTTATACGACTTCGCCGGGAAGGCCATCCCTCCCAATGCTGCATTTAACATGGCCGCCAAACCTGTGAACAAGGTTGTCCATGTCGGTCACAGCTTCGGATCCTTTCTTACCTCTGCGTTTATCGCCAAACACAGCTCTCTTTCCGACGGAGCCATAATCACGGGTTACCTGTTGAACAAATACCTCGGAAAAGCAGGCATGGCTTCCTTCAACGCCCAGTTCGCACCCGCCAGTTCTACCCCTTTCGACCGACCAAGTGGCTACGTCGTGTGCCAGAAAAGTGGTATCCAAACCATCTTCTTCGCCGGTGATCCCAAGTCGGCTTTCACCAAGGAAATGCTTGATTACGGCGATGCTATCAAACAGCCCGTTCCGATTGGAGAGTTTGCATCTGCATACCATATTATTGGGCTACCAGGTCCTAACTTCAAGGGCCCAATTCAATACATGTTGCCGGAGTTCGACTTCTACATCTGCGGTGGCGATTGCAAGGGCCTTGCAGACATGAAAGAGTTACGCAAGACGTATCCTCAAGCCTCTGAGATTGAAGTTGCCATCCAGCCGAATACCGGGCATGCTTTTACCCTGCACAACAATGCTACAGCCGGCTACCAGATCAGTTATGATTTCCTGGCTAGAAATGGACTGTAAGTCGTGCCCCGCCAGCAGTGGCACCTTCAACAGAGCATTATACGATCTCTAGATACACAGCTGTTTTTCATTATGTTATAGAATAGTCTGCACTTTCCCCGCAATATGAGATAGATTAAGTACTAGATAGAGAAGTTAATACATTACATGTTAGCAAATCAGAATATTTACGTAAAATAAGGGAATATAATAAAGTCGGTATAGAGTTAACGGGCATGGGTGGCACGGAGCAGCCCTCAGCCCCGGAGTTTCAGCCTCCAAATCTGATACTCCCTACGTTTCTCGAAAGCAAACTGACAAATACTTAGTTACTTGGCTGGGTATTTAACTTTTCCTGGTCAGCAGTATATCCCACAATTTTAACTACCTGGATTTCCACCCGGCTGAACCACATGGCTTCGTCACCATTACAGGTTTTCCACGCGATATTCTTACCTCAAACACAGAGTATTTTGCCTCTTCATGGCCTCAGACTGGACCTGGAGCAAGCCGCCCATGTGGATTTCCCTTGCATAGGACCCTCATACTCGTGGCTTTAGCCTTTGTATTTGGAATTCAATGAGGCTGAGTATGGACGAACATCTGCAAGACTCTTCAGGTGCCAAGGCAGGCTTGGTGGCCCAATAACTGATGCCCAGCTCAGGGACGGGAAGATGCACCGTTTTTTCGAGGATGCCTATATCAGCCTCACGGTTGACTGCATTTATAATGCAGTTACCTGTCTCCCGTGCTGTAATTCAGAAAAGATACATAACATATACCCTCTCTGTTGTAGTTGTGACGTCCAGCAATTGGAAGGGCGATAACTATAACTAAAATGCCAACCCCTGAAAACCATGGCCAAAGAAAGACAAGGAGGCGCCACCAAAAGTCAAGGAACGGGTGTTTCGAGTGCAAGCGACGAAGAATAAAAGTACGCAACCTTCACATGCATATCATTAACAGATCAGGGAATTGACATTGCTATAGTGTGACGAGGAGAAGCCGGCATGTGTACGATGTGTCTCTGGCTTTTATAAATGTGTCTACCCAGAAACATTCATGCCAGGCAAAAAAGGTCCAAGAGACGAATTGTCTGTACCTAGCTCAGTCCGGGTTACTCTATCGCCCTCAACAAGTGTTTCTTCATACCGGGAACAGTCCCCATCAACACGTTCAGCTACTGAAGCAAGAACCTTTTTCCCTCCCACGGATACCCCTGGTGAATTATCTGACACGGACTTATACCACCACTATCTACAACATACCAGCCGGACCTTGACGTACAGCAAAAATGACCAAAGTGCACTACAGATCGGCATACCAACATTGGCCCTACAGAGCAGAACCGTCTTTCACTCTGTCCTGGCAGCGTCTGCAGCTTGTCTAGCATGTGATATGATATCCAGACAACCTCCTGCAAAGGTGGGCGCAGTTAAACAGGCCCTGGTAACTGGTTACCGGCATTACCATTCAGCAAGTGAACGGATGAGAGAGTCAATGTCCTCCTTGGATACATTGAAGCTGGAACCACTGTTAGCAAGCGCTTTGATGCTGGTGCCTTTTGCTACTGCAAGTCAACAAATAAACCACTGGCTATCAGAAAATGAAGGAGTAGAGGAAGCTAGAAAACCGCTTTCATCCACACCGAGGGATATAATAGTCATTATGCGAGGAATCAGAGCTACTCTCCAGACCCTGGACTGTGAAAGTCCAGTGTCAGGGATTGCACCGTCTCCCGTAACGGACCCGGGAATAGATGATCATTCGATACTGCCGGAAGCCAGAACCAGGGCATCAGGTATAGCCACACCATGCAACCATACAATGGGCCCAATAATCGCGTCAACCAGCGAAGAAGCCTATTCAAAACTCCAGCAACGCTTGGATTACGCATTTTATCACTGGGGTGATGCCAATGACACATTAGCTGCCTGTGCTGCTGCTTTCGACATATTAAAGGACATCAGGAGCAATGCCTTCTCCCGCTATTCATCAGAATCCTCTCCGTCGTCGATTTCATCACTTGACGACGTCTCTCAAGAGCTTTTTGAACCGCAGAGTATGTCCTTGCCACAAGTAGCCTCATGGCTTCGATCATTTGCAAACCGGTCCGTGGTCCCACAGCCAACAGAGCCATTGACGCGGTACTTCCTTACATTCCTTGTTCAGGTTTCTCAAGCGTATCTAAATCTTGTTCTCCCGCTCCTTGACAAGAGGCTTGAGAGTCCCGCTGGTGCAGAGTTGGATGACAGGTCTATAGAATTGACGATGGAGCAAGCTCTTGCGCTGGATATATATGCGCACTGGTCTGTCCTAATGTTTTTGGTAGAGGAAGAGTCTTGGTGGATTGGAAATCTGCCGTTTGTCACTCTTTCTGGGTTGGTGAATAGATTCGGGAACAATTTTGTGACTAGGCTGTGGCCTGAAGAAGAGAAGGGACGGTGGTGGCCAGGAGGGATGTTAAACATATTGCGAGAGATTAAGCAGTATCGATAGGAAGGCCTAAGTCGACAGTGCGTCTCTTAATTGCTTAATGCTCGTTATTACTGGCTTCGTTCTGGTGTGAATTGTCAAACTATTATTTATATGATACTCCCTACTAAGGGGTTGAAGGGCTGTTTTAAGCTCTATCACAAATACATTCTGCTCCTATTGTTAGGTTCCATGACTGAATATATGTAACAAGAAATCTATATCATAGGGTATATCGGTTAAAGGTCTCAAAGCAAATTCTTGGGCTCGGAACGCGTCTTAGTATACACTTCCCTGGACGTTCTGTTCTTCGAGCCTAGCACGCTCATCTTCTGAATCCTCATCGTCTTCATTGGGATAGTCGTCATCTCTATCAAAATCACGCTGATGTGTATACTTCAGGCCGGAACCCTGGCGAGCGATTCCACCGCCATTGTTAGTCGGGGCTGAAGAGCCGGCCTGCTTCTCTGGCAAGGGTGACGAGTGGCCTGTTGATACACCACTATTTGAGCCTCCAGCATCTCGACCGCCTAGATCTGGTACCTCTACGGTGCGAGGGGGCTTGTCGGCCCTGGCTCCTTGGCTCATTAAGACAGTGGACTTGATCTGTAAAACCGGCTGGTCACACAGCTCCGCCAGCGCGGAGTCCCCTTCATCTTGGTCCTCTTGTTCATCCCCGTCATCATTCTGGTATCGGTCGTCTAGTTCCATTTCTTTCTCCATGCTGCCGTTCTTCTCACCTCCGGTCACCAGTCCGGTCGTTGAGGTACTCTGGTGCAGTAGCCTCTTTGTCACTCGGTGCTTGTGACGAGCATGATCACACCCATCTGGACATCCACCCCATACTCTCCTCGGGCTTATGGGAGAAATTAACGGCATGTTGTTAGCTTCACGCTCCCGTTCTCTCTCCTTTTTCAGCTCAGACCATGTCCGCAGCTTGTTCCGTAGAATGTATTTCCCGTTGTCCGGGTTCTTCTGCATAACCACAAACTCGCAATGATTAATATTCCGGAGATCCTCAAAGTATTCAACACTGAAATGATACCACTTCATTAAGAAAATGCGAGTCATGAGGCCATGGGTGACCAGCACGCAGACGCTGGCAAAGTCGTCATCTCCAAATAACCGCCATAGAGACTCGTTGAAGCCGCTCACTCGATCGTATGCATCCGCCGCGGACTCCCCGTTGGGAATACGGTAGAAGAAATGCCCATAGTCTGCACGCTCCTGCCACATGCGCTCCATCTCATCAGAGCATGGTTGGAAATTACCAAAGTCCTGCTCTCTCAGCCGTGGTTCTTCGTATACTTGGATGCCCTGGCGGGGGAACGGTGACGGCGAAGGGTCATCGGAGGTGAGAGATTTGAGGATTCCCTCTGTCGTCTCTCTCGTCCGCTGGTATGGAGATGTGAAGAAGTGTATCTTGTCATCGGGCCGTAGCATCTCACGCAGCCTACGGCCGGCTTCGAGTGCCTGACGATGGCCTTCGGGAGTAAGTTTGATGCGATGATCAGGGACTGTCTGATGGATCTCCCGATTCTTGTTCCCTTCTGACTGTCCATGCCGGATCAGGATGATTAACTAAAGTAAATACATCTGTCAGCTTCTTGTATCCTTCGATATAGAGTAGAGACGTCTTCTTAGTACTGACTCGTGGCTTGCCCATGATTGATCCTCCGCCAAAGTGCGAGCTAGAGCGTTCACAAAAGATCCAGATACTTCTTCCAAACCAGCTGAGAAGCTCAAAAATCAAATAATTTATATAGCTGTATCCAGGATAGCTCCGGTGTTTGTGAGGATATACATGAAACAGCAGGGTCTGGGGTTCTGGGGTTGAAGCCGTTGAAAGCACTCGGATTATCTTAAAGCTTCATAAAACTATCAGGAACTATAAATCGGTACATCGAGCGTCACAGGCAAAAGCAGACGGACATATTTACCACAGCAAGTCAGTCACGGCCTCTCAAATAATCTACCGAGGGCCTTGCATTGAATCCGCATGCATGATACCTATCGATGGACTGACGCACGCCCGCTCCGGTCTCGATAATGGCAGACGCACTCTACGAGCTGCTCGTCCCTCACTTTGACGCCGCCGAAGGCTCTCCTCGACCAGCACCACCCGCGGCGAGCTCGACCACCGCGCAGTATCTCAATCACATACCAACACTAGATACAGCTTCGTTGACGTCGACGGAGCTTCAGTCGCTCTCGCAGATCTCTCATTCGAACCTTGTTTCCCTCCAGGCGCTCGCCAACAGATCCCACAAGACCTTCATCACATCCGCAGACAACCACCGGTCACTGCAGAAATCACTCCCACAGCTAGCCATAGAGACGCAGCGGCTCCGAGATGCCATACCGAAGCTCGACGAGGAAGCCGTGCGCTTCTCTTCGACGTACAGCAAGACAGGGGACAGCCAGATCCTAGACAGGAGGAAGAAGGCGCTCCAGCTCGCCCGCAATGTGGACAGGTTATCTGATATCCTAGAGCTACCGACTCTGCTTTCTACGGCTGTCTCATCTTCTTCGGGAGCGTCGTCTGCTGCTGCTGCTGCTGGTGGCACTGGTGGGACGTCGTTGTCAAGCAGCCTGTCGAGTACCTCCAATTACTCGGCTGCACTGGACTTGTTTGCCCATATAAAGAGACTACAGACACTATATCCCGAGTCGCCGTTGGCCAGGGATATATCAAACCAGGCCGAAGATGCCATGAAAGATATGACTACCAATTTGATCTCTGATCTCAGAGTCCAGAACATTAGGCTGGCACCCGCAATGAGGATCATTGGGTGGCTGCGGCGTATTGCCCCGGATCTTGAAGAACCATCGAGCACCAAATCCGCAAGCGGTGGTGGTACGGGCGAAGGTGCCTTTGGTGCCTTGTTCCTCGTCTGCCGTCTGGCAAATCTTTTGAACATGCTAAGTGCCCTTGAGCCACTGCGGGAACTGGCAGATCAAGAGACCCTCCGGAGACGACAGAATACCACTAAGGGGGAAACGAGCGAGGTTTCGAAGAAAAATACATGGTCTGGTGGGCAGCAGACAGAACGGTTTTTGAAGAAGTATATTGAAATCTACCGAGAGCAAAGCTTTGCTATTGTGTCTTTGTATAAGAACATATTCGCACCTGGGACTTTAGACTCAAAACAACAAGAAACGGCTGAGGAAGAACCACCCGAGGCATCGATGCTATCCCAGCCACCCCCAGCGCTGGCTACGTTCCCCATGCATCTGGCACAGCTCCTGGCGGAGACGCTGGAGGAATACCTACCGAATGTGAGGGACAAGAGCTCGAGAGAGAGTTTGCTCACCCAAGTACTCTACTGCGCCGCCAGTCTGGGCCGACTGGGGGGAGACTTCACCATGATGCTCTCCCTCCTGGGTACCACCGGGGGAACGGACCAAGACGAGGAGGACGGGGACGAAGACAAAGCAGTGCCGGAGTGGGAGGAAGCCATCCGCAAGCACCGCATCCTCGCCGAGCGTCTAGACCTGTTGACGGCCGGTGGTGAAGCTGCTGGGGGTGCCGGAGCAAAGGGATCTTCTTCATCAAAGTGAAAGCCCTCCTGCGGCTGGTCAACTGGATAGATAGAGGGAGGTCTATATAGTTACTATATCTATTTACCAAAAGGATAGAGAGAATACTACTTGACGAGGCCATGTCGACAACTTCACTGTATCAAGCCCCTTCCTTACCTCACTGCGTCCTCTACAAGTGTAAAAGCCTGGAGGAAGGCCCTGCATGCTCGGCGCCTTGCCCACGCCTGCGTAGCTGCATCTCGCATCAGCCCTTGCCGGCGCTCGTCCAATTCGTGCTGGTCATCCGTTTTTTCTTGTTTCACCAAACTGGGCGCATTCCTTTTTCCTCCCACCTTTTTCTTCGCAGCAACAACAACAACAAGAAGAACAAGAACAAGAACGGCGACGACGAGAGAGCCGCCGGCTGCGGGCAGGATAAAACAATAAACGGGACCCATTAATCTGCGCTGACTCTCGCTGCTCTCCATTGTTGCTGGTCTGTTTGCTCTAATAATGCCTTATCCATAAGGGCTCCTCTCTCTTTCACAGCCTCGCCGGCCGCCCGGGTATTTCAAGAAACTGGGGGCATAGCAGCTCAAGAGCCCTGTATCCTTCGCTTCTCCGCTCGATTGCCAGTCACTCAGGTCGACTTCATAACTGTGTCCCAGCGTATTTGGCGTGTCGCAGTCGCATCGGTCGAGTTCTTGTCGAATCTCAGCCGAACGCCCTACAGCCCAGCCGAACGAGCGAACGCCATGGCTACCGTCTCAGCACCGCAAACCCCGAACCTGAACGGGGCGCAGATGGTCGACCCTACACGGCCAGGCGAATATCCGATACTCCTGGGGGACAAGCTGGCGGGGAGGGATAATGCACGAAACCGCCAGTTTGTGAATGTGACATACAACTACAAGACCAAGGGCAACACACCGCAACAGAAGACGACCATCTACCCGGCCGGAGCCCCAGACCGGTACAAGTTGACGATACAGAGCAAGGCAGGCAATGCAGAGCAGACGGACCTGACCTATGTCTACAGCGGTGGAGTCGACCCTGAATCGTCGTCGTCTACGGCTTCAAAGTCCGAGACCAGCAACTTGGTCCTGATATTTGACCCAAGACGCAAGGCGTTCATCCTTGAGCCGGTGTCGACCAGATTGAACTTCAATCTGAAATCGGCGCCGGGGAAGACGGACCGACAGGTTTCAGAGCAATACCCCCAATTGAGCACTTCTTTTTCAAACAACGATCAGGCTGCGGGAGATAAACAGGGGGAGAACGAAAGCGAAGAAGAGGATGTAGGACCAGCGGATGAAGAGAATCCTTACGACTACAGACACTTTCTGCCCAAGAACAAGGCAGAGCAGAGCAGTAGCAGCGGTGCCGGCAGCAAACAGAGTGCCGTGGAGGCCGGCTCAGCGCCTGGCACTCCGGATCCTCACTTGGCTACGAGCAGCAAACCTGCAGCACCTCGGTCAGTGCCAGCAGCACAAGTACCACCAGCAGCAACAGCAGCAGCAGCAGCAGCAGCTCCTGCAGCTGCCAAAGCAAAACCAAAGCCCAAGCCGAAACCTGCACCAAAGAGTAAAGCCAACCCGCTCCGTCCTCCGAAACAGCGGAATCCCAAGGCTGCTTCATCCGCTGCTACTGCAGCTGCTAGCAGCACCAACACCAGCAGCGGGAATGCGAATAATGCTTCTACAAAGGCCAAGGAGCCGGAGGAGCCAGCAGCGCCACCCGTCGCTATTGCACTCCCGCCCAAGCCTGAGCTGGTTGAGGACTCCATTATCCCATCTGTAGAGACGCCGGATCTGGTGGGAACGTACTCTGCCTCTGATGATGAGCCCAAGAGGCTGGCCGGGTCACCTGGCAGCAACATCATCGTGGATGGGGATCTGATCATCGACATGGGCTCCCCTCCGCCGCAACGACCGGCCTTTAAGATCGACCCTAGCCATTTTGCATCCAACAACACTTCGGCCAACGAGGCAGGCTACAACAGCGATGACGAGGAAGATGTAGAAGAACCCCGGCCATCGTTCTTTGGCAGACGGCCAGTGCAGGAAGAAGAGGAGGAAGAGGAAGAAGAAGACGAAGACGAAGACGAGACGATGGAAGATGCCCAGGCTGCAGGTCATGCGGACGGAGACGAGGAGCCAGCGGACTTTGAAGACGATCTAGTGGCCGAGATGGAAGCGGCGCTTGAAGAGAGTGCCAGGGAGGAAGAAGCAAGACTGGCGATGGAGCAGCAGCAGCAGCAGCAGCATCGATACACCAACCATGTCGAGAGTGAAGACGAGAGTGAAGTCAGCGAAGAAGAGTGAATCTGCATTGCCCTTTGGGTTGAGTAAGGAGTACTGTTTAGCAAGCTATCGTTTTTTATCTTTACTGTGAATAGGGGGGGGGTCTACCGGGCAGGAACCATCATCTGTTATGATACCATGGGAATAATACTGGAGTTTTCTACGGGCGTGTTGTATCTATTGACTCTCTTCTACTACTATTATTGGCTTTACTAACTGTCATCTCCAATTGACTATCATCTATCAAATACATCAAATACATCAAATGCTCAAATACTTCCTATTGATGGCTTCTTTCAATAAGCGCCCGGGCGAGTGTTGATCACATGACAGTTATTTTTCCGCCGAGTCCAAAAATCTTCCAGCCCGTTTAAAAGACAGGAAAGACATCTTGAACATGCAACGCCGTCTACCCACGCTCACCAGCCCCTTCTGACGCTTCTACCCGTCGGTATCAGCCTGTCTTTGCTGATACTGGATCGCCCTTACGTCTCTGGACTCAGCGCTGGCCGCGACCTCCTTGCCTCCCAGCAGTGCAATTAAACTACCAGCTCAAACTGCCTTTCTCGCGCGCATCTCATCGGATACCGCACACACCCCAGTCACTGCCTATAGCTACTGAATACTAATCATTTACTTGAGATAAGAGCCGACAGCCACTGAGAGATAACGGCGCGAGTCAGCCTTCGCCATGCCGGTGCCGTCGGTGGCAGCCTCTGGAAAGGAGGAAGCGCCAGCGCCGGCGGCGTCAACACCAGCATCAACATATACAGCACCCACGCCAGCAGCAGCAAAACCAGTGCCCTCGCCGTCTAACCCTGTGCTGGCCTCAAAAGAGACACAATGGCTGTTCACCGACTCAGACCTCCGATATACGCCCTCGCTGCTGGACGGCATGTCGATGGAGACTGAGCACACACAACGCAGCAAAGGGGTGAACTTCATCACACAGGTGGGGATACTGCTGAAGCTACCACAGCTCACCCTCTGCACGGCCAGCGTGTACATGCACCGGTTCTTCATGCGGTATAGCATGGTCGACCTGCCGCAGAGGCCCGGACGACACCCCTACCCGATCGCGGCCACCGCGCTATTCCTCGCAACAAAAGTGGAAGAGAACTGCCGGAAGATGAAGGAGCTGATCGTGGCCTGCTGCCGGGTAGCGCTGAAGCAGCCCAACGTGATCGTGGACGAGCAGTCGAAGGAGTTCTGGAAATGGCGAGACACGATACTGCACAACGAAGACCTCCTGCTCGAAGCGCTGTGTTTCGATCTCCAGCTCGAACAGCCGTACAGGCTACTATATGATTTCATCTGTTTCTTCCAGGTGCAGGATGACAAGCGGCTGCGCAACTCAGCCTGGGCGTTTGTGAACGATTCGACGTTTACGGTGCTGTGTGTTCAGTTTAGCGCGAGGACGATAGCGGCGAGCGCGCTGTATGCGGCTGCGATGCACTGCGACGCGGCGTTTGCGGACGACGAGCTGGGCCGGCCGTGGTGGGAGCAGATCGACGTGGATGTGAGAGAGGTGCGGCGGGCGTGTAATCGCATGGCGGAGATATATGACAATTACCCGCTGCCGAAGCCGGGCCAGAAGTATGCGCCTGCACCCACGCCGGTGAACGGGGAGGAGGCGACGGACTCGACGAGGCGGGTTTTTGCACAGAATGCAGGGCGGAGAGATAGTCACGGTGGACAACAGGTGAATGGGCGCAAGCACGAGCGAGACGAGGAGCATGAGCCGGGCGAGATTGTGTCGAACGGGACGACGGACTCGCCGAAACGACAGCGGCGGGAGTCTGAGGAGCCGGCGTCACGGCCTCGATCAGCGGTGTCTGTGTCAAGGTCACCGGCTGCAAATGCTACAGCTACAGCTACGGCTACAGCTAATGCTACGGGCAATGCTACGGCTAATGCTACGACGAACTCTGGTGCTCGACAGGTCAGCAACTCTTTCACGAACGCGGCGTCGAATCTCAACCTGTCGTCTGCCAGCTCGTCCCAGCAGAAACAAGAGGAGGAGGAAAAAGAAGAGGGAGAGGCCGATGAAGGGGAGATAGAAGACGGCGAGCGAGAGGAAGGGGAAGCTGACCCTGACCCTCGTCCTCCTCGCAGCCATAGCCGCGTTCCAGCATCGTACCAGAAGCATCTACACCAGCAGCCGGCGCGCATGGAACATCCGCTGCCTCCGCCGCCGCCATCCCAGGCCCAATCGATACCCAGCCGCGAGCGTTGAAGCGCAGCCATCAACTGAAGTTGGACGGATAGTTATTGTTATTCGAACTGGACTGGCCTGGACGGACCGTAATCCAACTGCTCATCCGTCCGAATGCGCCACCCGCCACCGCCACCGGGAGACGCAACTGAGCGCAACAGGCAGCGTAACTGGGAAGTAGAGTTAAGACTAAAAGCTGATATGTGTCTATCAAGCACGCTGCAGTCAATCGTGCAGCCAACTTTTTGACGGGAATCCGGGGGCAAGGAAGAGGCAAAGTTACGATTTTGACGAGGAATATCAAAGCAAGTTAGTTAAGCTGTTAAGCTGTTAGGCCACAGTAGTTGAATCTATCTAGATGAATAAAAAGGAAGCATGGCTTCTTAACCTGCTAGTAAGAAGACGATGTGCAAATAGTCCGCTTAGCTGCATGAGATAGATGTAAGATGTAAGATGTAGTATATTTCTTTTCATGGGGGTCAATCTAGTAGTAGCTAGCTAGCTAGTAATGGGATACGACGATACTGGCTGGACAAAGAAGGGGCACTTTTTCTCAACGAAGCGGCGCAGTCGACATGAAACAAGATAAGACACGCTGAAAGAAGAAGAAGAAGAAGAAGAAGAAGAAGAAGAAGAAGAAGAAGAAGAGAAAAGAGGTAGAGAGAAGCGGAGTAGGTTCTTTCTTGTTTGTTTCGTTTCTGGGGTCTTTTGGTTCTGGTTCTCTGCTCTGCGGCCAGGCAGGGAGCAGGCTTGGTTGTAGATAGACATAGGGGTAGATAGAGTAGTAGAGTAGATGGAAGACATGCTGGACATCAATTAACACCGAACCGCTGAAAAGGAGTAAGGTAAGAAGAGCGCCGTGACAC